GGTGATGGGAATTAAGAGGTACAAACCTCCAGTTATAAAACAAGTAAGCCAAGGGAATGTAATATACAATAAAAGAAATATGGTCAATAACATTATAATAACTTTCTTTGGGGACAGATGGTTACTAGACTTATCATGGTGATCATTTCATAATGTATGCAAATGTCAAATCACTATGTAGGACACCTGAAACTAACATAGTATTGTACAGCACTATGTCAACTATATTTCAATAAAAAATTCTTATGCTTTTAATGGATTTTATCTTCTCACATTGGCTAGGAGAGCCCATACAACATTAAACAGAAATAGTAATAGGAGACCATCAATGTTCCCCATTTAAAAAAGGAGTGTTTCTAAATTTTCCCCATTAAAAGTTGTGTTTGTTGGGCTTCCCTGGTGGTACAGTGGTTAAGAATCCTCCTGCCAATGCAGGGGGCACAGGTTCAAGCCCTGGTCCGGGAAGATCCCACATGCCACAGAGCAAGTAAGCCCGTGTGCCGCAACTACTGAGCCTGCGCTCTAGAGCCCATAAGCCACAACTACTGAGCCCACGTGCCACAACTACTGAAGCCCACGTGCCTAGAGCCCATGCTCTGCAACAAGAGAAGTCACCGTGGTGAGAAGCCTGCGCACCCAACGAAGAGTAGCCCCCCACTTGCCGCAATCAGAGAAAAAGCACGCGCACAGCAATGAAGACCTAACACGGCCAAAATAAATAAATTAATAAAATAAAATAATAAAATTTAAAAATTTATTTTAAAAAGTTGTGTTTGTTGTTATGTTTTGACTTTGCAAACATCCTTTATCAGTTATGGAAGGTTCCTTTTCTCGCTATTTTCTTTTTAAAATTTATGAATGTGTGTAAAATTTTAGCAAATGTGTTTTGTGCCTCTATTAGGATGACCTTCTTTAATCTGTGTGGTGAGTGACACTTATAGATTTTCATATGTAAAACCAACTTCACATTGCTGGAGAACAATGCAACTTAGTCACAGCGTGTGATCATTTTCCACATATAACTTAATTCAGTTTGCTAATCTTCAATTTTGAATATCTGTACATATGTTCATAGTGGAAGCTAGTCTTTAATTTTCCTCATTAATAATATTCTTGTTTGGTTTTGATTATCACAGTTATACTGGTAGCAAAGAATGAGTTACAGAGTATGCCCTCTTATTCTATTATCTGGAATAGTTTTGGAATGGTACATTCCTTCAATGTTTGCTAGAATTTGCCTGTAAAATAGTACCTGCCTGGTATTTTCTTTGTGAGATGATTTTAAACCTCTGGTTCATTTTCTTTAACAGTTATAGAACTATCTGGGCTTTCTATTTCTTTAATGCCAGTAATATTTTTCTAAGAATTTGCTATGTAGCAAACAAAGATTAAACCAGGATGAAAATAATTGCTTTCTTTTTTTGCCTATTACCATCCATGTGACTAGAAAATTCACTTTTACCTTTTCATATATGAGTGAGGAAGTTTTGTATTACACCTTGCACCTAGAAAATGGTTTGCATTTTACAAAGCACTTTCATAGCCATAGTTACTCAGTTATATTCAAGGTCGCCCCCAGCTCTAAAATGCTAGGATTTTGAATCAATTAAAAACCTCCTTTGTCCCAAACCAAAAACCCTTGATGCTATTATCTCAATATGTATTATGCCATACAGTCTGAAAATCTCAAGACTTTAAAAGGTTTATTATTTGTGTATGCCAACTGAATATTATTTTGTATATGGGGACAGAATGATATACAAAATGGCAATATACAAAGCATACATTACCAGCAAATAATATGTCTTTTTTTTTTGCAATAGAATTTTCATCTTTATAAGCTTCCATTTATTTAGTTTTTTTAAAAATTGCATCTTAGTTTGTATAACTTGGAACTATATGTGTAAGTATGAAAAAATAAACCAAGCTAAATTACCCCAATAATTTGTCTTCCAACATCGACACCTAGAAGGCAGTGATGCTATCACAGATCTTTACTCCTAAGCTGACCAAACCGGCCCCAACTACATACGCTTTCTCATTTTTCCTCTCATAACATTTAAACTACCCTGCTATTATTCCTAACCCTCACTTATACTTTCTCCAATTCAACCCATTCTCCCACTCTCCAGACCATTCATTCTTTCCTCAATTTCTGTTCATTTCCTCTCCCCTTCCATTCATTCTTTTTTCTTACTGTTTACTGTCAGCAGTCTTTCATTTTACTGTAATTTGTTCATTTTACATATGTTACCCTGTTAGACTAATTTTAAGGGTAGAATTCTATATTACTTATCTTTGTGTCCCTTGTGCCTAGCATGGTTTACAAAACTTCTTTTCCCTTCAAAAGATCATTAATCATACTGAGGTTTTAAAAGATCATATATCAATAGTTTTCAACCCTGGCTGTACATTAGAATCACCTGAGGAGTTTTAGAGACACACCAATGTCTTGGTCCCCTCTTCAGAGTAATTAATTCAGAATCTCTGAGGGTGGGGTGCTCATGATTCTTTAAAGCTCCCCAAGTGATACTAATGTGCAGCCAGTATTGACATCTACTTATACACATAGACTTGGCAAACTACGATGGACGTCTGTGTTTTGCAAATAGAGTTTTACGGTAACACAGCCAAGCCCATTCGTTTACATATTATCTCTGGCTGCTTTCACTCTATAAAGACAGAGCTGAGTTGTTGTGAAGAAGACTATACTGCCTACACAGCTTATAGTACTCACTGTCTGTTCTTTTTTTTTTTTTAAGAAGATGTTGGGGGTAGGAGTTTATTAATTAATTTTTGCTGTGTTGGGTCTTCGTTTCTGTGCGAGGGCTTTCTCTAGTTGTGGCAAGCGGGGGCTACTCTTCATCGCGGTACGCGGGCCTCTCACTATCGCGGCCTCTCTTGTTGTGGAGCACAGGCTCCAGACGCGCAGGCTCAGTACTTGTGGCTCACGGGCCTAGTTGCTCCTTGGCATGTGGGATCTTCCCAGACCAGGGCTCGAACCCGTGTCCCCTGCATTAGCAGGCAGATTCTCAACCACTGCGCCACCAGGGAAGCCCACTGTCTGGTTCTTTATAGAAATAGTTTGCTGACCCCTGATAAAGAGGAACAAAGTCCTATTACTTATCAAAAAGGTATGGGATAACAGAGACTGATGCTAACACTAATAAGTAAGACTGTTGTAAAGGCTAAAAGGAACGTTTTCAATATATTCTCATCAAGGCTCTCACTTTAAAAACGTTTTCTATATTTGCAATTATTCACTTGAAAATGTAAATAGCTTCTCATATCCTAAAAAGAGAGTTTCCATTATGAAAATCTGGCCCTATAATTCTATGTAGCAGAGGTAGCATACAGCTCAATCAGTTTCACTGCTACATTCTAATGGCTGTATCTACTTGTCACATGCTGTCTATTGTCCCACTTTCCATATGTTTTTAAGGTTTAGAAGCAGCTATTAGTACAGACACATTTCTAGATTTGTCCACAGACACATAAAAACTGTGATAGAAATTAATTTTCTTTACACCAGAAAACACTGTATTTAGTAAAAAGAACACTAGATTAGGTATCAGGAAAACTAGGTTTCAATTTTCACTACGCCAGTGATTTATTATGTGACATTGACAAAGTTACTTACTTTATCTGTTATTGACAAAGAATGTCTCAATTTTTACTAAAGCAATTTTGTCACCTGGAGATGCTTGGTTGTGGGAAAGAATTTATAAATTGGCAGACACAATAATACACATTTTGAATTAGCTTCCTCTCGCCAAATTTTACTACATTTTCTTAATTAAGTCTCAATAGCAATATGAGCTTAATTTATCCTGTAATAAAGAGTAATGAGATTATGGACTGGTTGTACCAAACTATCTAAGTAATGACCTGTTCATCCAGCAAGATTGATGTCTACCAAATGCTTAAGATTTTAATAGAGAATCATATGAGATTTTCCTAAACATATATTTCAGTAAACAGTGAACAAAGGCTTCATTATTTGAACATTCTTTACATAATTAAGCTTAATGGGTCAGCTAGGGAGTTCAGAATACACAGAAATAAAGGTCCAGTATAAAACTATGACAAGCCAAAAACAATGCTTAAAATTGTTGAATGATGTGTCCTACAATTTTGAAAAAGGGAAATGCAAAAAAAAACACATCCACATCTTAAAGCAATCACTTACTATATTAATTCTAATGCTCCCAAAATATTTAGGATGATGCCAAGATGTCAATACTGTGATTTCAATACTAATCAGGAAGAGCCCTTTCAAGATTGTAGCAATTGGCAACATTTGAATATTGACCATAGGTTAGATAATAGTATTATATCAATATTAAATTTCCTGATTTTGATAACTATACTGTGATTATGTAATAGAATGTTCTCGCTCTTAGGAAATATAGAGTGAAATATTACTGAAGTGTTTAGAGGTAAAGGGGTATGTATGATGGCTGCCGCTTACTGTCAAACAGTTCAGAGGTGATAAATACATATGTGTGTGTGTATGTGTGTATATATATGTAGTGGAGGAATGACAAAGCAAAGGTAAATGTTACCAATTGTTGAATCTGTGTGAAAGGTATATGGGAGTTCTTCATACTATCCTTTCAACTTTTATGTAAGTTTGAAATTATTTCAAAATAAAATTTTGACAAAAGCCTTTTCAAATAGCACCTCGTAGTACAAAAAATTATCTCCAAGTCATTAATTTAATATTTTAATACAAAAAATGAAAGAAAATAAGTACATCCCAAGCGGCACTCATTCATTAATCAACAATATATATCTCAGATGATTTTTCTTAAAAAATGCAATAATAAATAAACATATTTATTAAGTGATTGCTCAAAAATTTTTATGGACAAAAGAATTTAAAGTCTGTCAGGTTCTAACAGCTTCAGTAATTTTTAAGGGCTTTTGACTGATATGGTACTTTGCAAATTCATACAAACAAAATAGCGATAAAATAACAAATTCATTGAATACTTAACCCATTGTAGAAATTAGTTTGATCTGTGGATCCACAGGGAGAGGCTGCATCCTGAAGGGGTGACTCTTTTTAATAGAATAATCTTGAAGCAGAAGAACTAAACCAACATGCAAACTTTTATACCACTCAGGACACAGGGCATTCCACATAATCACTGACACGGTGCCTGAACTGTCAGCAACTTCCAAAAAGGTCTAGTTAAAAAAGAGTAAAAGCACATGCATATTTGTTACTTTAATCTACAGGGTGTTCAAATTTTATTTTAAGAATGAGGAAGCAAAACTATAGAAGAATCACTGAATAATTTATGATATGAGAGACTCTGTAATGATGAAAAGTTATAAATGAAGAATTCTTAGTAATGAGAAAATACTTGAGAAAATGTTAAATGATACAAAATTTTATATACAATATGATTCCCATTTTGTAAGATAACTTACTATGATATATGCCATAGTTATATGTAATATATGATAGGCATACATATATGCATAGATGTGCTATCTATGACATACATATGATATCACAGATATGTGTATATATATGATATACACATATAAAAAAGGGGAATAAAATACACTTTAATATTAACAGTGGTTCTCTCTGAGTGGTAAGATTTGGCTTGATATTATTCATCAGCTTTATATATCTTTATACATTTTCCAAATTCCCTGTAAATATGTATAACTTTTACTATAAAAGCTTAATAAAGCACCTAAAATAATTCTTGATAACATGCGGAAATACAGTAAAATGTTAAGTTTCAAAAAAAAACACAGGACAGAAATCAGCACCATATGGCATAGAGTGTCAAGATAACAGAAAAGTGTCAGATAGATTGGACAATTAGAAGGTCTCTGGTGAGTTACCAGCTGAAGCAAAAAGTCAAACTAATTGTGTTGAGAAGTAAAAGGGAGGCAAGAAAGTGAAAACATATAGTGTAGACTACTTCTTCAAGGAGCTTGCCTGAAGAGAAGGACAGAGGGAATACAGGAGTCCTGATGTCAAAGGAGATTTTTTTCCTTTTTTAAAATGGAAGACTAGACTATATTTATATGCTGGTGTAGAAAGCACAGTAAAGAAGAAGTTGAAGATACAGAAAAAGGTGTGAAGGAGACCAGCTGGATCAAGGGAACTAAAGGGCACTAATACAGAAAGAACTTCTTTTTCTATAAGAAACTACATAGAAAAATACCTTGAAATATATATTTGTTCATTTTTAAAATTATTAAGTTGAACTTTAAAATATGTTATTTAAACATAAATTATCCTAATAAAGAGTCAGGTCTGTAAGTTATAATTTATGAGTGCTAAATTAACATATAATATCTTATTACTACTTGTACCTGGTATGGCTCAATCATCTTTTTATTGGGTTTTCCATAGTATCGCAGTTTTGATTTATGCAAGATTCTCACAAGCAATGCAGGAAAATTCCTTATGTTAGACCAGGTCATTTCAAGGTGAGAAAGGGAAATTATTCTGATATCTAGAATACAAAAAAGAAAAAAAATCCTACTAAATATGTCATGGTAATTTCAAAATTCTATTTTATTGGTTAAAAATGGTAGCCAGATCATACCCAAAGCAACTCCTTCTCACCAGCTAAACCAGTCTGTATACTTCTCACATATAAAACTTAGTAATAAATATTACCCCTAATAATAATAGCTAAAAAATATATATGACTTACTATGTGACTAGAATATAGGTAAACACCTATGTTAACTAACACATCTAGATGGAATGTTCCATCTGGAATGCCCTCTACCTCACCAAACTGTGTAATTACTTCCTGGAAGACTTGGATCGAAACTTACCTCCCTTAAGAAAAAACTCAATGCCATGGAATATTTTCCATGGCACTTATATATTTAACTTATAGAATTGTTTCATGATATATTTCTTTACTGCTCTCACCTTAGTCTCACATGTATAAGTTCGAACTTTCCCAAACATTCCAGACATGGTCCTGTAACAGGGCCTTTGCACTTGCTGTTCCCTGGGTCTGGAATGTCTTCCTCTTAGATACCCAAGTGATTTCCTCTTAGATACCCGAGTGACTTTCTCTTCTCCTTCAAGTTTTGCTCAAAGGTCACTTTCTCAGTGATGTTAGCCATAACCACCCTATAGAAAACTGATCCCCTTACTTATCTTCCATCCCATTTTATTTTTCTACATAGCACATATTACCTTCTCATACACCATATAATTTACTTTGAAATGTTTTAATCTCCAAGCCTGCTAGCAAGTGCCAAAACTGCTTAAAAGCTATTCACCATCTTTAAAAGATTAACTTGTATTTCTAATTTTATTCTTCCTTGGTTAAGAGGGGTTCCATCTGCAATTTTCTCCACATTTTGCTCTCTCATAGCCCACAGTCCCAACTTTTAAAATGTGTATTTGTATTTTTCCCAATATTTATTTATTTAAGGCATCCTCCATTTCCATTTTTATTTATATAATGTATCACCTACTCAACTTTGGCATGAAAACCATTCTTGTAATTTCTTTTCAATAAAAGTTTAAATGGCCTTTTATAACTACAATTGTACCATTAACACTGCCCCCCCTACACTATTTTCAGTATTAGGGTATCTTGTGTAAATTTCCCTCCAGATTCTCCCAATACATTACTAGCCCAGGATCACAGATCCTAATATTTGATGTGACGTAATTAAGTGATTTCCTTTTAAATATGGTCAAACAAATTGTAGATCACCTCTGAATTATCTAGAAGGTATGTGGAACACTCTTCATCAATGAAGGCACATACACCACCTTTACCAGCCGGAATAAATTCAAGAGCTACATGGTTTTATAAAACCACAGTTGTAAGAGCCACTGTTTCTGCTACAATTGAGTCCAGACAGTTAGCCATGATCAGACACGTGCTTGGTTAACATTTTCCCAGATTGGGTAAAAACAAAAACAAACAAACAAACAAACAAAAAAACTCATTAACTTCATAGAATATACATATCTCTGAAATCTAAAAAAAAATTACAGGTTATACATAGACAATGAGAAATCTGTGTAAATTCATAGAAATAAGTGGGTTCATTATCAAAAGAAAGAATGAAAATAATAATAAACTACATATTCAATATAAAAAGTTAGTAAGCAATACAATAGTGTTTCTCAAACTTTGTGGTCCCAGGACCCCTTTACAGTCTTAAAAATTACTGAAGACCTCAAAAAGCTTTTGTTTATGTGGGTAATATTTATCATATTTACCATACTATAAAGTAAAACTAAGAAATTAAAATATTCATTAATTCCTTTAAAACAACAATAATAAACCTGTTAATGTATAATAAAAAGGTATATTTTTGAAAAATGACTATATTTTCCAAAACCAAAAATGTAGTGGAAAGAGTGGCATTGTTTTACATTTTTGCAAATCTCTTCAGTGTCTATCTTAGTAGAAGACAACTGGATAAATCATATTTTATTTGGCATTTATTCAGTCTGTTTCAATGTCACATGACATGTACCCTCTGGAAAACTCCACTCTATACTTCTGAGAGAACGAGAGTAGAAAAAGATAAATAAAGCCTTAATATTATTATGAAAATACTTTTAACATTGCAAATCCCCTGAAAAGATCTTGGGGAAACACCTAGGGGTCCTTGGACCGTACAGTGAAAACCACTGCAAAAGAATAAATCTAAGGAATATAGAAAGGAATATAAAGATTAAAAACTGAAACTAATGAATTAGAAAACAGTAAAACTGGCAAATCCAATTCCCTGGAAAAATTAATAAAAAGGTAAAACTTTAATAAGTGCAACCATGAAGAAAGCAAACAAAAAAATAATGTTTGGAATGTGATCAACTATAAACATAGAGAAAATCATCTTAAAGACTACTATATATAATTATATATCACTAAATGTGAAAATATCAGTGAAATAGATAATCTTCTAGAAAAATATGAATTACCAATATTGTTGCCCTAAGGAACAGAAGAACACTGGAACAGGTCAATAACCATGCAAGAAAATGAAAAAGTTCACAAATAATGACCTCCCAAAATTGCACCAGGTTTATATGATTTTTAACAATTTTCATTTTAATAAAATTCAAAGAATAGCTCTTTCTCTTAACTATAAGTTGTTCTAGAGCACAATAAAATATAGAAATTATACCAATTCATTTTATAAACTTAGATAAATCCTGAAAAATTATGACAGAAATAGTACAAAAGAGAAAACTATAAACCCAAAACATTTATGATGGCAAAAATCCTAAATCAAATACCTGCAAATCCAATGTAGCAGTATGCCAAATTACATCATGATCAAGTAGAGTCCTAAACCTCTTGTCTTGTTCAGGAGGAGAATATTATAAATTCTAAATAATTCTGGAGATTGACATAAAATGTAAGTTCAAATGATTTTGTTAAAACATTAAAGAGAATAAAAATATAATATATTACATCTAAAGCACTAGAAGAAAAAAAAATTTTAATCCTGTGAAAGCAAAAAAAATAGTAAAAAAAAATAAAGCATGGCATATACTAAACAAAGTAGGACTGCAAGAACAGGTATAATCATTAATTACATTAAATTTAATTGGATTAAATTCATCTCTTGAAAGAAAAAGAATTGGTTTGGGTCAAAAAGCAAAATCTTGGCTGTAGAAAGAAACCTAAAACAAAATGGAAATAAAGTGATGAACAAAGATACATACACTAGGCTAGTGGTTATCAAAGTGTGGCCTTTGCACCAGCAGCATCAATGTGTTAGAAATGTAAACTCTAGGGCTTCCCTGGTGGGGCAGAGGCCCACGTACCGCAAAAAAAAAAAAAAAAAAGAAATGTAAACTCTAGGGCAGATGTACTGAATCAGAAACTGGTGATGGGGTGCAGCAATCTGAATTTTAAAACACTTTTGAGGCGATATGGATGCCCAGTCATGTTTGAAAATCACTGCCCTAAATGCTAACTAAAAGACAGTGGAAGTGGTAAACAGTACTATCAAAATATACAAAATATAATTTGAGGCAAAAAGGGACTAAGAGGGACTTCCCTGGCGGTCCAGTGGTTAAAACTCTGTGCTTCCACGGCAAGGGGCACGAGTTCCATTCCTGGTGGGGGAACTAAGATGCCCCATGCAGTGCTGTGCGGCCAAAAAAAGGGGGGACTAAGAGATACATTCTATATTGATAGAGTAAAATCGACCAAGATATTAACAAGCTATGAAACTTTACACATTACAGCAACATCTAAATCGAAAACTTAGATGTTGAGAAATGAACAAAACCACCAACATAAAGAGAAGCCAATATTCCTCTCAAAGGAATGGGCAAATAAAATAGATTTTAAAATAAGGATATGGAATACTTTAATTTAAAAACTTCATATAATAAGTAACTTCATGTCTAATAAGTAAGCTTTTAACCTTTTGGGGGTAAAGAGGAATTCAAATTTAAAATCAGAAAATATGAGTAAGGAGTAATAATGAAATTTCTATACTTCAAAACCTGGGGGATACAGCCAAAGCAGTACTCATGGGAAATTTCAGAACTGTTAAAGCTTTTGGAAGAAATAAACAAGGAAATAAATGAACCAAGCATTGGACTGAAGAAGGTAGAACCCCTCCCTCCCCCGCCAAAAAAAGAACAAAGGAAGTAAAAAGAATTAAAGAGGACAGCAAAAATAAAGTAGAAACATCTCCCCAATATAGACTTGTGGTACGCGGGCCTCTCACTGTTGTGGCCTCTCCCGTTGCGGAGCACAGGCTCCGGACGCATAGGCTCAGCGGCCATGGCTCACGAGCCCAGCCGCTCCGCGGCATGTGGGATCTTCCCGGACCGGGGCACGAACCTGTGTCCCCTGCATCGGCAGGCGGACTCCCAACCACTGCGCCACCAGGGAAGCCCTAAAAGTCTTTTGTTCGTTTTGAATACCAAGAAAGTAGACAAACCTCTGGCAAGGCTGACCATAAAAAAGGGTGAAGACACAAACATTAGGAATGCATCAGGGGATGTAACTGACAAGACAGAGATTTAAAAATGTAGACTACTGGGCTTCCCTAGTGGGGAAGCCCACCAGGGAATGCTTTTTTAATGCTTTTAACGCACTAAAAGCATTATTGGTTTTACCACTTTTTCAAAAAACTGAAAAGGAATCATTCTTCCAATTCCCAATCCCGGCCCAAGGTCCCAGGTTCAAATCGTTTTAGGGGTAAAATCTACCAAACTTTCAATGAACACATGATTTCTGCTAAGTACAGAAAAACAGGTAACTCATCCTACTAGGCTAATATTAATTAACCTGATATCAAAATCGAACTGAAATAGTACTCTCCTAAAAAATAACAAAACTTATGGACCAAATTCACTTGAATATACAGATATAACAATAACAAGCATGACCAAGTAGAAACAAAAGTGGTTCAACATTAGAAAATCCAGGAATGTAATTTATTTCATTCATTCCTTTATTCAATGAACCTGTATTGGATGCCTACTATGTTCCAGACATTGTTCTGGGTATAGGAGAAACAGCCCACAGCAGTGAGGAAAAAAAAAAAGAGTGCTTGCCCTCCTGGATCTTACAAACTAGTGGGAGAAGAAAGAAAAGAAAAGAATTTCAGTGTGTTACCACTTCTATGAAAGGCATTTGCACGGTGATGTAATAACAATAAATGAGGAAGGAATGCATATTTTAGAGAGCCCTTTTCTAATATATTTTATATATCTGAGTTGAAACCTGAGGATGGGAAGGAACTTTCCAGAAAGAGGAAAAAGCAGGAGCAAAGTACCTGAGGGCAGGACAGAGCTTGGAGGTTTAAAGATTTAAAAGGCGGCTGGCGTGGCCGAAACAAAATGGCGGAGGAGAGCGGTTAGAGAGGCGCGTAAGGGCACCTTGTAGGTCAGGTCTCCGCAAACTGTGGCCCTCAGGCCAAATCCAGGCTGCTGCCCGGTTTTGTTAATAAAGTTCTAGTTTTAACACAACCAAACCCATGTAATTACATATTTTCTGTGGCTGCTTTCCATAAACAATGGCAAAGTTTAATAGCTACAGCAGAGACCATAGGTCTCGCAAAGACAAAAAGATTTACTATCCGGCTTTTTACAGACAGTTTGCCAACCTCCGTAGCACCACGTGGACCTGGGTAGGAGGTCTAGATTTTCTTGCAGTGCGGAGCTACTGTAATGATTTAGGCAGGAGAGTGGCACAGTCTAACTTCCTTTTTACTTTATTTTACTTTTTTGGCCGCGCCCTCGGCTTGCGGGATCTTAGTTCCCCCACTAAGGATCGAACCCTGGCCTCCAGCACTGGAAGCGCGGAGTCCTAACTCGGACCGCCAGGGAATTCCCCTAACTTCCCTTTTAAACCGCTGCCTCTGAGATCGTATTGGTACCTTTAGAATAGGGTATTGAACGAGGAGAGGGAGCCTTTTGGGGTTCTTGAAATGCTCTATATCTTGATCTAGGAGGGTGGTTACACAGATATATATATAGATAGCTGTATTTTTAAGACTCTTCTATTTTACTGTGTACACACTACACCTAATAGAAAAGTTTTAAAAGCACAAAATCGCACCACAAAACTAAGAGGAACGGAGTGGGAGAAAATAATTTGCAAAGTACGGCAGACAAAACTTAATACCCATTAGCAAAGAAATCCTACAAATTAATTAGAAAAAGTCAAAACATATAATTAAAAATAATAGTACAGGGAATTGGGCACTGTCGTATATATGTTAGTGGTAATGTAAATTAGCACAACCTTTTAAGAAGCTGCTTTGTCAATATCCACTTAATTAAATAAGTCAAATAGTCTTTAACCCAGCAATTTCAGTTCTAGGAAGCCAACCATTCAACAGAAATACTTGCACATAGTGAACAAATACAGGTATATCCTAATGATGCTCAGCACTGGATTTAAAACTGAAAAACCAATAACTGCCTAAAATTATAAATTACCCATTAATGTGGGCATGGTTATATAAATCATGGTACATCCATACTATGGAAAAGTGTATAAAAAGATGTACGTTAAAGATGTTTGAGAGAAGTGGAAATAACAAATCATGCAATGTAATATAATTCATTTTTCCCCATTTTAAGAGGAAAGTTGAAGGTATACGAGAAGGCAAAAAGGGTCTCTTACTCCACCCATTTTATTATTAAAAATTTCAAACATACAGCAAACCTGAGAAGAACACCAATATACCCACTTCTATATTTTGTCATCAACACTTTACTGTACTTGGGTCTTACACTATTTTTTTTTTTTTTTTTGCGGTACGCGGGCCTCTCACTGTAGTACTATCATTCCCCTTATTCCATCTCTTACAGATAAAAATATATTTTAGAGCATTTGCTGATGACGGACGAGCTAGCATTATCAGGTTAACTTCCTACTTCTGAAACAGAAGAACTGAACTTCTCAGGTTAGTATTGTTCGTGGTAAGTAATAAGAAACATAAAAATGAGAATTCCAAGCTTTCCCACAAAATCACACATTCAAAAAACAACATTTACATAACTGCCACACTCAAAGGTATAGAAAATGGAGTTTCATTAAATGTGAATTATTAAGGAATAAATCACGGAACATCCTTTTTTGAACGAAAGTTAAAACAGGCAAAACCACAAATATTTACAACACTTATGCCGAATTCAAATCTATACACTTTCCAACCAACACAGAAGGTACTACTTCCACGACTGTAATGGGACTAAAACTAGGATGAATTCCACTGTAGTCAAACGTACAACGAACACATGAGGAATACTGACTGCAACATCACTACGTTCGTCAGATTAAATTTAAGATGTATTCGGACATTTCCTGAATGACCACTTTTACAATCAAAGCAAGACGCGAGCTGGAACCCCGTCACCCATCAAAGCTTGTCTCTTACCACTCCCAGCTTATAATTAACAATACCAAAGCACCTTCGTTTCCTTTCCCATTAAAGCAAGCTCCCGAAAACCTTAACCCCTCCGTCGTTCCCTCCAATTACTTACTGTTAAAATTGTGCTCTTCAGGTTGCTTGTTGCTTAACCAGATATCTCCATATGGATCTTCGTTATTCCACAGGGCCAGGTAATGGCTCTTTCCGCCTCTTAACGGCCTCTCCGGGATTTCCCGGTGCGCTCTATTTCTGAAGGGAATTTCTAAAGAAATAGAGTCCAGGGGCTCCCCACAGTGGACGTTATCTATGCACAGGATCACCTGGCCTAATCTTTTCTCGTTGTAAATACACGAGACTCTGGAAATTTTCACTTCTATGCCAACTTTGAGAATATTTTTATATACGAGAAAATTCAGGCTGGGGTCCAGGTAGCACTTCTCACGGAACACCCCGTCCGAGATCGTCACATCATAGCAATAAAGCGGAGGTTTAGGTTCCATGTCGCGTGGCTCACCCTCTAACAGGTACCTCTGGACGGCCAAAACAGCGACAGGCACCACCTCCAACGGGGTGCTACACCGGCGAGGAGAGTCCGTTATTTGCTCAAGAACGTTTTGGATCCAGGACCTGCGCCTTGGGGTACCAACCCTTTGGTTCACACTTCTCTGGACCTCAGCCTCATTTCCCTCAGGGTTCGGCAGATAGAGCCCAGAATGTGACGGGCCTTCCTGCGGCTGACCTAGCTCACCAGACATGGCGGGGTGACCGCGTACCCTCTCCGCTCCCAAAACCTAACTTTCCCCGTCAGAGGCTGAGAAAATGAGAGCGCGCGCTTGCGCAACGGTCGCTACTCTGCCCGGGCTGACTGGTAAAGCTCCGCCCAGTCGAGGAGCTACGAAGCCTATAGGAGGGCGTGCGTCAGCTCTCTGGCTCCGCCCCTCGCTCAGCACGTTTCGGTCTCCCCGCACTGTTACTAGTCAGTCACTTTTGGGGATACGTACTGGGTCGTCTAACCTAGTGCCCGCCCATTTGCCAGGATAGAAGCGGGAAAAGCGTTGGTCGCCATGGTTTCCAAAACAAAGTAGCAAGAGGGAGGGGGAGGAGCGCTCGTGGCTCTTCTGGAAAGGAGGGTGCAGAGAGGCAAGAAAAGAGAATGTGGCTGGAAGCGGGAGGCAAGTAGCCATAGCTCAGGAGTTCCGGGCTTTTGGCCTTGGGCCAGCCACAGAAGGTAAATTAGAGTTTGATATACGTGAATGTGATAATATGGGTCTCCTGTAGTATGAACAAAACTAGATAATGTATGCATAGCCTTCTGGACAGTTACTAGCACAAAAAGTCCTCCATAAACATTAGTTGTTATTGTTATTAGCATTCCCGTAATTGTAGTGGCTCACTGAGTGCAGGGTGGGTGAATTCGTGATTAAGTGCAAATGAAGCCATAAAATTATAGAACTGGCTTGGTGGAGAGCTGCCTTTAGATTACACTTCTTAAAATATACTTATGGGGCTTCCCTGGTGGTGCAGTGGTTAAGAGTCCACCTGCCGATGCAGGGTGACACGGGTTCGTGCCCCGGTATGGGAAGATCCCACATGCCGCGGAGCGGCTGGCCCTGTGAGCCATGGCCGCTGAGCCTGCTCGTCTGGAGCCTGTGCTCCGCAATGGGACAGGCCACAACAGGGAGAGGCCCAAATACCACACACACACACAAAATATATATATATACTTATGTTTTATACAATACCTGGCTTAACATACAGGTAGGATATAGAATTTCAGAAGCTGCATTTCTAAACTACAAGGATTGTATACGGAATGAATGTAATGTGAAAAAGCTGATAAGAATAGTCAGAATTAAAAATAAAACATTTATTCCATGTACCCAGATGTGCCAGTATACACAGAACATAGTAATTGTCCTAAGAATACTTTTCAAAGAAAGAAACAGTCGTGTTTTGATTATATTAATCTCCCTTGGCTGTCTATTTCATCATTCATTATTCACTATTTATGAAGTCCTTACTATGAGGCAGGCACTGTTCTAGGCCATTATGGACAACAGTAGTCAGGCTCCTTTACTCAAGCTTCTTCTCACTGCCATTATTAATATTTAACTAATTCACTAATTCTACATATATTTCTTGAGTGTCTGCTCTAGGCCTGGTACACTCTTGCTTTGGAAACCAAAAAACATGTTAAGGGGAAAGGGAGGGGAGGGGGCAGGAGTTAATATTTTATATACAATATGATTAGGGAAGGGTTCTCTATTAAGAGATTGAATAGAGCAGAGTTCTGCAGGAAGTGAGGGAGTGTGTGGACTTCTTGGGAAAGGACACTTAAATCAGAGGGAACGGCAAGAATATGTTCCGTGAGACAGAAGCATGCTTGATATTTTAAAGGAAATGCAAAAAGCCAGTTGACTGGAATGGAGAGGTGAGAGGAAGAGTGGTAGGAGATAAAGTCAGAGAGGTAGAAGGGCCTTTTAGGCTTTCCTCTGTTTTGAGCAGAAGAGTGACCTAACGCTTCAGCTTGAGCCCCACTTCCTTCATGAAGCCTCCCATAATCAATTTATTCTAGAATGATCTTTCTCTTATCTGTATCACCTTGTATGTATCACTTATTTAACATTTATCATCTAATACCTTGTAATTAAAAACAAAACTTCTAATGTATGTAGCTCATCTCCCTAACTTAGGGTTTCTCAACCTGGACACTGTTGACATTTAGGGTCAGAAAATTATTTGTTGTGAGAATGTCTTGTGCACTGGAGGATGTTTAGAAACATTCCTGGCCGCTACCCCCTAGATACCTGTAGCACTACTCTTCCCTCCCAGTTGTAACAACCAAAAATATCTCTAGACATGACAAATGTCCCCTGGGGGGCAAAATCACCCCTTGTTAGGAGCCACTAGTTTAGCTAGACTATAAGCCTTTTGAGAGTAGAAATTGATTTTTTCTTTATTGTTTCCTATAGTTCTTTCACTATTGCTATAAGTAAAATGCATTCAAATATTTTAAATAAATGAAACATGTAATTCCCACTACCTCTCCACCAAAGGGAATATATATGTGTGCCTCTCTGTAAACAAATGTAATAAACAAAAATCCAAACTTACAAAACACAAAATAAGTAAGCTCCCCGAGTGTAGGTACTTTGTTATGTTCGCTGCTGCATCTCCAGTGCAAAAATCAGTATTCCAGCAGATAACATGTGCTCAATAGTAATTGTTGAATGAATAAATGAAATTATGGGGTTTTATTGGATTTACTGCAGGAGCCATTAAATATCAGCCATCTCTATTGTTTATCCAAGAAGAACTGGTTTTAAATCTTTCAAATCCATTCCATCAGCACCCCCAAAACTATATACTCAGTGGAATTTATACATAATAGTATTGTATCATCATATTCTGAGTCTATCTAATTCATAAAAGATGAATATTGGCAATGGTGCTCAGTAGTTGAATAATTACTGAAATTGGGAAGAAATAGCACCCATGTTTGTTTTTACAATACCACACACAATAAAGATATACACTAACTATGAGAACACAGTTGAAGTCTTTTGTATTGTTCTACTGACAATCTGCTGATAGTGCATCTCCCTGAGAATTAAGGTGTCTACTTGAATAGTTATCACACCTATGTATGAATGTTCTCTGAAGGCATTATAAGCACCTGTTTTGGGATTAATTACACAATAATAGAATAAGAGAAATAACTTTTAGAGCCAATAATAGGTATCATTTAGGTTATTGATTTTTTCTCTCCCCTGAGATCTGGACAATTTGTTTTAGTGCCCTCCAAAGCTTAAAATAGTAAAAGCAGGTGCTACACTACTTTTATTTCATGAAACGGTGATGTTCTGAGCTATTCAAAACACTTCAAATACAACATGAAATTTATTTTGGTAGTCCATTAAATTTGGTGCAGATTATCTGCCACATCGATTTTCCTCATCTTTAAAATTGGACTAATGAAAGTATTCACAGTAGTTGAAAAATTAAGTTAGTTCATATAGATAAAGTGCTTAAAACTGTGTTTGGCACATACTAAGAGTTCAGTAAATGCTAGCAATTGTTATTATTATTCTAAAAAGAAGATACAGGCATAACATAAGATCATAGAATTCTAGAACTACAGGAGCCATTATATACCCACTAACTAGTTCAGTGTTCTTCATACTGTGGGTGGTGAGGCATTAATGATGTCATGAAGTCAATTTATTGGGTTACAACCAGCAACTAAAAATATGAAAAAGTTTAGAACACAAAATGTCAGAGTACCTCACACATACATAGTAATTGTAAAGATTGCTTCATAAAATTTTTATTTTAGATTTGTTGGCATGTATATGTGATACTGCATCATGATGTAAAAGTTTTTCTTACTATAGATTGTGACCAGAAAATTTTAAAACACGACTGCTATAATTCAACCCTCTTTTACTACAGTGAAGGAACTGAGGCCCAGAAAACGGGACTCTTGTGACCAAGATCACACAGTGGTAAGTGACAGAGCATCAGAACTATTAGCCAAGACTCCTGCTTATTAAGCCAATGTCCTTTCCACGACATAAGGTTGCACAGATCCTGGATTATCCCCCTGATATATCAGTTTTTTATTGAATAATCTTGTTTTGGTTATTTTTATTTGAATAATCTTGGTTGATCTTCTCATTCATTTAACTGTTCTTTCATTTATTTGCCTTGGGTAGACAAATCAGCATCATTCTCTGGCCAAGTGCATTGGGCATTGGAGGTACACTTGTAGGTTCATCAAATTCATAAGATTATAACAGTATGAGTAGAGATGTGGGGGAGGAGGAAAAACAAGTGTCATGACTAGTTGGTGCTAAAAGGATGTGGAGAGTTCAGATGCTATCTCAAAGAGTATTTAGGTAAGCTCTCCAAACATCACCACGGTAAAAAAAGAGGGCCTCAGAGTGGCTGCCTGGCAACCAGAGCACTACAGCCTTCAGCATAATGCTGCCCTTTTCCAACATCTTTCCCTTTTAATGCTGCTTTTGATGATTTTATTAACTAAGTTGCCTCTATATACAAGGATGTATCTGCACAGCTTATAATACTCCCTACCTCATTGGAATCAAGGATGTTCCTATGTTACCTTTCTATCAGATGGCAAATCTGTTTTGATTTACTTGTTGAATGTACTTAAACAGAAGTCTCTAACACAGGCTCACCATAACAATGGTTCCAGACTCCTTTTGCCCCTCAGTATCTCAAACAAATGTTCCTATTTGTCTGCATTCCTTTGCTTATCCTGAGCACATATTAGATGCACGATAAATGATTGCTGCTGTCCTCCCTTCTCTTTTGTTCATTCAAATCCTACTATTTTCCATGAATATCTCAGCGTGTTAACTTTTCTTCTGAGTCTCAATATTATATATCTGTAAGAGAGTTGGATTTTAGAATATGGATTTGATCATTTTCTTTTTTAAAAATATTTATTTATTTGGTTGCGCCAGCTGTTAGTTGCGGCTCGAAGGCTCCTTAGTTGCGGCAGGTGGGCTCCTTAGTTGCGGCATGTGAACTCTTAGTTGCGGCATGCATGTGGGATCTAGTTCCCTGACCAGCGATCAAACCCTGGCCCCCTGCATTGGGAGCGCAGAGTCTTAACCACTGAGCCACAAGGGAAGTCCCTGATTTGATCATTTTCAATTTATTAGGTCTCTGTTTCTCTGATTATTAGATGAAGGGGGACTGACTGTAAACTCTCAGTATTCTACAGATTAATTTATTCCCATTTGTCTTCATTGGTCATGCTAGCATCATGTATCTA